TATAAGAACTCAAACAGATCGTCAATTTTGGTAAATTCGTCCCGATCTAATGTTTCTTCCCATTTATCGGCGATACGCCTAGGTAATCGGCTCTCTACAATATTAACCAGCACCTCCGATCCTACATTAACTCCCAACGCGGCCAATGAAGCGACATGTTGTTGCGCGTCGTCGGCAAGCTTCGATAGACCCTCGGTAGATTCTTTTTCTACGGTGGGCATATTTAGTAGTAATGAGAGATGACGAGAGATGAGAACGCGTTTTACTTCGTAGACGCGCGTTAATAATTCCCATGCTTTATTGTAACTTGAGTTGTCGATCGGTAACAATTTTATTTTATTGGCCGCTTCATCCGTTAAAGACGATTTTAAATATTGAAGTTTGTCCACGTCGGAAAGATCTGTTCGCGAATCAATCATCGCAAGAAAAGAATTTTTAAACGATAACCAATTCTCGAAGCGACCCTCGAATTTTGGTAAAGAGGCTTCCGGTAGTTTCACTCGCCGCTTCGCTACCGTATCGGACACGGCATTACTCTGCTGAGACTCGTTCGCCGTGGTATCGGTAGACGCGGTGGACGGTGTCGAATTTAGTAACTCTTCGATTTTACTGGCAATCATATAAAATCTTTCTTGAATATTTGTGAATTCATCTTTGTGACTGTCGTTTGAATCTAATATAATTAGTTCGTCGTTGTAATCCTCGTATGCGTGGTACAATTCGGTGACGCGAGCCGTGCGCAATTTTAATGCGGTTCTATCGAAGCTCTCCTTTTCAATAAAGCTTATCAAATTAGTGATTTGCGCCTTTAATGACGTGCGCTTTTGTATAAGTAATTTAATTCGATTGGCCATGTTCTCTTTCAAAAAAAAAGAAACAATATTGCTTAATCGGTCTTGTGTGTACGTGAAATGTACTTGCCCTTATGTACGCTGTCGTCTCCCGATCGTCGTAACGGCTGAGATGCGAATTTCTTCTTTGGTACGTAGATACTTCGTAGATTGTCGATTACTACTTGGTCGTTTAATGGTCGTTCACGCTTGCGTCGCGAACGACCTCACAGGAGGCACCATGTTTTATAGGAGTTGCGGGGAGTTTATTTCCACACTCTAGTTTCGTCAATCGTTTATTAACTGTATACACAAATTGATTAACACTATAAACTTTTAACACTATATGTCACGTAGGGGAGATCCGATTTGAGCGAGGACTCGGCCTCTATGTTAAGAACCTGAGAACTCGGTCTCTGGATCGTGAGTGAACTCGGTCTAGGCGAGGACTCGGCCTCTATGTTTTATACGAGAACTCAAAACTCTATATTATTCGCGAGCTTTGAAATATGTATATTTCACGATGTGCTAGCACGTAATAAACTTGACAAGAGAGACGATCGATCAAACAACAAAAGACGATCACATATTGATTATCGCGTCTCCCTTAACGATACCGATAGCAACGCTTCGCGCTGGGTGCTATCCTTCGCTTACCGACGTCGGACAGTTTAGTTCGGCGACTGTTCGTCGCAACAGTATTGTTACTTTGTATATAAATACTTTTAAATAATCGTTTCATATAAATAATAGTTAGTAATAGTATTTTAATAATTTACATCAGAGGCATCTATTGTGATGGTACTGGTTAAAGAAATGTCAGAGGCGTCTATTTGGACGGTACTGATTGCATGCAAAATAGTAGTTAGAAACAAACACCAGAAGCGTCTCTCCTGACGGTACTGGTTAAA